GCGGGTCAGTCAACAAAGGTCACCTGGGGGAGGAGCGGGGAATTGAGGAGGGGACAAAGGACAGGAGACGCGAGAAATGGAGACAAGACAGGATTCTGATCAAGTCTCGTTTATTCAAAGGAAGCTCTGGGTATATATAGTGGAGGCGCAGGGAAATGACGTCAGCGGGTAAAAGGCGCGAGTAACTAGGCAACTGGGCTATGACAGGAAGTCCCGCCTCCGGGGCACAGCAGGAGACTCATGGGAAATAGGCAGGGTGAGAAGGACCATGAACTTAACTCAGCAGGGGAATAGAAACTTAAGAAGACGGCTGACACTATTATAAAATGGGTACCGGTTAATGGCCTCCCACAAATATGTATGTAACATATAGTATTTATACATAGTAATTTATAAAATTATATTTATTCAAATGTTAATAGAAGTATTTAGTGATAGACAAACAGGCAATAAGATACTTTTATTGTTGAAATATGCAAGTATTAAATTATCTTTTATGAGAAGATCTATACAGGTGTTAAATTGGACAAAGAATTAAATATATACATTTTTTTCACTACAAAACAGTCCTTTATTTATATCCCCTTTTTTTTTGTTTTGTTTTGTCAAGGATGGGTGTTCCATTGCTGTTAGAGAAGCTGTATTTGGAGAAGTCTTTAAAGGACCTTTTCATACTTGATGCCAGTTCAAAATGATTTCTATTGGGATAATCCCTATGTCTGTGTTCTGCCATCTAATGAAACTCCTGAGACAGCACAACTAAACCCAAATAATTTTTGTAACTTCTGCATAGTGCAGAGCATAAATGTACATGAAAATCTTGTTTAGTAAATAGTTGCCGACTTAGAAAATTACTCAAGAGTGTTTTCATCTAATTACTCACAAATGTATTACAAATATGATAGGTCTATTACACACATATATGTGTTTTTTCTTTCCCTCTAACACACACCACAGGAACAGGGTACCATTATCACAGCAGAATCCGGGATGTTCATCTCATGCAGTTTCCAGCTGCGTCACGTCTCTGTAAGGTTTTAAAGTTTCAACATACTAAAGTAAAATATCGAACATTATTTTGGATGTTTTCTTCAAAAGGTAACGTGGATATATTCTTGAAATAAGTAATGTTAGAGTCTCCCTTGATGTCTTTAGTACATCTCTAAATTTTGTATTAATCAAAAAGGCTTAGGTAATTTTCATTGTTCTGAAAGCAAACCTAATCTTTTAAGACCTGATGTTCTGATATATCTGAGGATTAACACTCTTTGTATTTGTTTCTCCTATCTTGACCTCAGAGAATGAGAACCACTTCTACAAATGAATCAATTTATTCTTCTACCAAAACAACATATTTGATGTTTTCTCAAGTCTTAAAACATGTTGAGTATTTAACATTAGAATCATTCTTTTCTTTCTTCAAAGAAATTAATTGCTGGCTTAGTCTTCCTCTTTTCATTTATTTTTTCTTTCTTTTATTTTTAAAGAGGATAAAAATAGTAATAAAGAATTAGAAATGATACAGAAATTCACCCAACAAAATAATAAGAATTCAACCATATTTGTTGTATTGCAGCGTTCTCTTCAATTTAGTTGTTCAGATTACCAGATACATGAATGCAAAACTGGAAAAAGAAAAAAGAAAAAGAAAAACAGTAAAAAATTAACTTGAGAACGAGGAAAAGATGAAAAGCCATTTTTAGAAGCAAATCGAATTTGAATAGTGTTATTTCTACTATAAATGAAAACTTAGACTAGATTTTAGTATCATGTGTATCTTTCACTTAATGAAAAACTTTAGTCATTTGCCAGCTGAGTCCAGACCACATCTATCACGAAGAACAATGGTCTGTGAGCAAACAAAACAATCCTGAACTCCATCACCCTGACAAATGGAGACACGAATGCTTTTCTGAATATCGGTATGATTCAAACAGACAGGTGCAGATAAATCTACATGAATATTGCATCTGCTTCACTGAATGGCTTTTAATTTTGAAATTATGACATGTCAGCAGATATAAAAACACTGGTAGAAAATTAAAAAGTAGCACATTTGTGTTTAGTGTAGTTGCTCACAGGAGATAAGCATGGAGTCTTCATGAAATAAACTCTTCCTATGAATGCAAGTAATTAACTATTGGCTCTTCCTCATGGGAAGAAAATTGTGTACCTAAGACAAGTTAAGCAAATATCTTAGCATAACACAGTGATGCTCCAATAGTTACAGTAATTCCTCTTGCAATCATGTTTTGAAAATAAGGTATGCCAAATTCACAGGATCTCGGTATAGTCGAAGTGACTGATAATTATATTTCACTTCGCCTTTTGAGATGAGGGTTCAATAAACAGGCACTGATATTCAGAGCCTCAGCACGCTATCCAAACATCGCTAAACATTTCTATGAAATGTGTCCTTATGCTGAGAAAAATATATAATTATTGTTCTCTTTAAAACCCTGTTCGACTACCAATTAGTTAACCGAGTGATACACAATATGACAAGCTTGTACGTGACTTATATTTTTTTTTAAAACTGAACAGTAAAAGAACTATCGATATAAAGGAACGAGAGAAATTCAATGGCATTAAATTGTTACTCATACTTTGGAGTGTTTAGATTTTACACATAGTACTATGATTTGTAAATAATGAGTTTTTTAAATAAGTTTTTCATGTTTTATTCTTCTATAACAACCATTTCCTTTTAGTCTAATTTAAGGAGTTTCTTAGTGTTCTGTATTTGTACGGTTTAAAGCATGATACTCAACACCTCATTTAAAGTTTTCATTTTAAACTATTTTATGTTAGAGATTATTTTGGTTATTTTACATTTAAAAAATCTCCTTGGAAGCCTTGTTTGCAAAGGAAAAGCAGTATTTTGACATGGTTCCCAGCGCTAAGTCACTGTCTTACGCAGCCCTTAAATTTATCCCGAAGTACTTGTCTTCAGCGTTCATGAGGACCAGTCTTCTTGGACAGTGTTTCTTCTGATGGTTTGTTAAAGAAGCTAGAGAATTATTTATTGAAAGTCAACGCTTAAAAATAAAAAATTAATTTAAAAAGCTAGGGAAATACATTCTTTTGACAGTGATAAAATATTTTAAATCAAACATCAGTATGACAGAGCGTAGAAGTTCATATGCACGCATGGTTTGCAGCATACACTCATACCATAGGTTTTTATTTTACACCTGAGTGTTGTAAACGGACTTTGCAGAGACACGTGGTCAGTCAGTATCACTAACAGTGGTGTAACGAAGAGCAAAAGCAGATTTTGCTTTCTGAAACACCCATCGTAGACGTACTAGGAGGCGATCTTTCCGGGAGTGGTTTGCACACACGCACACTGGAAAGGCTCCGCAGAAGCGCAGCTCTGCGTGCTCGTCACTGCGCTGAAAGCAGTCACCGCTCCTACCTTCAGACTCGCAAAATCGCTTGGGTGACACCCTTCCCTAGCGGCCCTTCTCCTGGCTTTCCTTACAAGCGTCTGCAACAGTGACTGAAACTGCTTCAGGGCGCGCGGCAAACAGCGCGGAAGGGCGTGCTGCGGCCGGTCCTTTCCTTCGCAGGCGGCCCTGGCCTGGCGGCCGACCTCGCCCCGCAGCCTCCGCCCACGGCCAGGGCCGCCCGCTCTTTTACTCCCTCTGCTTTCCCTGATGGTTTTACCCTTTTTTCCCCCATTGCCACGAACATTGAATTTTTCCACCTAACTCGACCCCCTCAAGAAAAGAAGTGTCGAGGAGCGTGTGCACTGCAGAAGTTCTCACAACTGCCGGTGTTTCCGGGCGTGCTTAACGAACGCGCAAGCATTTTTCTTCCTTCTCCGCCTCCTGCACCCGCGAGCAGCGGAGGAATTTCTGCTGTCCACTAACCCCCTCTAGCGCCCATCTGGCAGCATCCGAGCCGGCCGCCGCGCAGCTCCAGCCCGACCTCCCTCCCGGCGGCGGGCGCGGGCGCTGCGGCCGAGGTCCGTCCCCGCAGCCGGCCCGC